ATACCTACAGGTGACCCAGGACATCTAGAACTGAAAATGGGGAAGAAATTCTTGTACTTAAAACCCCACGGAGTGGGAGACTAACAAACCCACAGGTATTTCATAGTTAAAAAGCCTGGCAAAGTAGTTTGAAGTCTCCGTTCTGGGCAAACTGCCCTTTCATGGATTCATCTGTGTCCCCTAAAATATGACCATGAATGTCATTTTAACAGCTATGCAGTGATATGATTTGGCAGTTGTGTAAGGATGCAGTCGTCCCCATGATGTGATCTGATGTAATCATTCAATCCACTGTAAGGGAATTAGGGTGGGAAGTGCCATCCCTATTCAGGTTTTAACCCTGATATGATATAAGGGGGGCTCCTGGGGTGTGGCCTGCATTACCTTTTATCTAAGATTTAAAAGGAGAGAAATGAGCAGAGGAAGAACCTCGGTACCACCAAGAAGAGCTGACAGCTGGTCCTGGCCTTCAAACCCCACGTCCCTGTGCTGGGAAGTTCCTAAACCCAGAGAACAATGACATTGGAAGGACAGACGTTGGAAGGACACAAGGACACAAGGACCTCTCCTGAGAGCCAGTCAAGAGACAAAGCCTTCCCCTAATGCTGGCATCCTGAATTCAGACTTCTAGCCTCCTAGACTGAGAATAATTTTTTTTACATTCAAGCCATCCACTTGTGGTATTAGGTAATTAAGACATAGCCTTTAATTATTCACTAACTACAACCTCCACATATTTTGTACATTTCATTTCTTCCTAATGGAACATCATTTTCTCTCCTCTCTACCTGTTTGAACTATATCAGATGTTCAAGGACCTACTTAAAACCAGCCTTTTACAGCAGATGGACATTGGACCTCCACTCAAGTACTTACTTTTAGATGACTAACTATAGCTACCTATCAGTCTTATCTGAGCCGTGAATTGGATAACCACTGCATACTGCCTTACATGACTACAGGTCGGCTACAGCCTATGAGAGGTTTCCATTCCATGCAACTCCAATTGTAAGTCAGTTCTGATGTAAGATGAATCTCTTTTGTATGTTTGGTTCTATATTATTGTCAGTATGTTATCAATCCAGTTTTCAGTTGTTGATGTCTGTGGATTGGACCAATGAAGCTGGAGTTCTCATGCCTGCTGTTGTGTTGTTAGCAAGTCAGTTCTGACTCACAGCAACCCTACGTTCAACAGAACAAAGTCTGCCCGGTGCTGTGCCGTGCTCACATTGTTTCTTATGGTTGGGCCCTTAGTTGCAGCCACTGTATCAATCCATCTTGTCGAGAGCCTGCCTTTTTTTGCTGCCCCTCTACTTTACCAAGCACAGTATCCTTCTCCAGGGACTGGTCTCTCCCGACAATTTGTCTGAAATACACGAGACAAAGTCTTGCCCTCCTCGCTTCTAAGGAGCGTTCTGGCTGTACTTCTTCCAAGACAGAAGTTGGTGCTGTTGTTGTTCTTTTGGCAGTCCCTGGTACTTCCACTATTCTTCTCCAGAAATGAAATTCAAATGCACAGATTCTTCTTCCGTCTTCCGTATTCAATACCCAACTTTCACGTGCATGTGAGGTGACTGAAAATACCATGGCATGGGTCAGATTTACCTCAGTCCTCAAGCCGACATCCTTACTTTTCAACCATTTAAGGAGATTTTGTGCAGCAGCTTTACCCAATGCAATGTGTCTTTTGATCTCTTGACTGCTGCCTCCATGGGCATTGACTGTGGAACGAAGCAACATGAAGTTCTTGACAACGTCAACCTTTTCTCCATTTATCATGATGCTACCTGGCGCTCAGTTGTGAGGATTTGGTTTTCTTTACATCGAGTTTTAATCCAGAGTAACCGGAAGATTGCCGTCCTTGATCTGCATCAGCAAGGACTTCAAGTTCTTCTCAGCTTCTGCAAGCAAGCTTGCATCAGCAGCAATGCACAGGTTGTTAATAAAGCTTCCTCTAATCTTGATGCCACATTGTTCTTCATGTAACACAGCTTCTCTGATTACTTGATCGGCAGACAGATGCAATAAATAAGGGGAGAGAAGCCAACATACTCAACCTTTCCTGATTTTAAACTAGCAGTAGTCCTTTCTTCTGTTCACACAACTGCCTCGATCCATGGACAAGTGCTGCAGGAGCACAATGAAGGGTTCTGGAATTCTGGTTCTTCTCAGGCTATTTATAGTTTGTTATGGTTCACACAGTCAACTGTCTTTGCATAGTCAGTGAAACATGAGTAAATATCCTGTGCTTTTGACCAACAGTGATGTCAGCAACGATACCCCTTGTTCTGCTTCCTCTTCCAAATCAAGCTGGAGCCTCTGGGGCCTCCTGTCAACGGACTGCTAAAACCTTCGTTAGATGCTTTCAGTCGGTAGAAGCTTATTGCATGCGGTATCAATGACAGTGTTCTATAATTTCAACATTCTGGTGGTTCTTTGGTCAGTTGGCCTCTCAAATTTTCAGCGCTTCATCAGCTTGTTGAAACATTTCAACTGGTATTCCATCAATCCCTGCAGCCTTATTTTTGGCTAGTGTCTTCAGTGCAGCTTGGACTTCTTTCAGTACCATTGATGCTTGATCATATGCTACCTCTTAAAATGGCTAAATATAGACCAGTTCTTCTTGGTACAGTGATTCTGTGTATTCTTTCCATCTTCTCGTGGTGCTACCTGCATCATTCAATATTTTTCCCATAGGATCTTTCAATATTGCAGCTCCGGGCTTGAATTTTTCTTTCAGTTTTTTCAGTTGAAGATAGGCTGGGCGTATTCTTCATTTTTTATTCTCTAGCTCTAGGTCTTTGCACATTTCATTCCAATATTGTACTTTGCCTTCTTGAGCTGCCCTTGGAAATGTCCCGTTTAGTTCTTCGACTTCATTTTTCTTTGCCTTTGCCTTAGTTTGTCTGTGAGTTCAGAGTCTCTTCTGCCATTCACTTTGATCTTTCCTCTCTTTCCTGTCTTTTAATGACCTTGTACTTTCTTTGTGGCTGATGTTCTTGATGGCATCACAAAGCTCATCAAGCCTTTTATCGTCAGTGTTGAATGCATCAAATCTGTTCTTGACCGTCGGACATGTGCATACTTCAATTTTCATGTCACTAGAACTGAACATTGTCAACTTCCTATCTGCTGAGATTCCTACATTGACACAACACAGACTCCACTGTAGACCAGTTCACAGCCTGCCATGCAACCATGTTTTGATCTATTAATCATAATATTAAACATCTTCGAGTGAACATTTAAGAACAATTATATCAACAAATCATGTGCTACAACACTCTATGTAGTACATTTTACTAACAATAGATGTACAGAAAAAAGAAACAGGCAGTCTTAAGTGTGTCATAGTTCAAAGATGATTAATTGAGAGCTACCTGTACTCTTTCTTTATGTACTGATGTTGATTAAAATAGATTCCAAGTTTTCAGAACAAAGGACTCGGAATTCTTGACCTCTCAAGTCTTTCATAATACTTGAAAGGGGAAGTGAATGACCTTGCACTAAGGGCATTTGTATTTACTATTTGAGTGACATTGTCAAGGTCACTAGTGATTAGGTGTCTTGGTTTGCTAGCACTACTGTAATACAAATGTCACAGAAGGGTGACTCTAAAAACAAATTCATTGTCTCGTAGTCAGGAAGCTAAAAATCCAAATCAGGCCCAAGTCTTGTCAGTCGAGCTAGTGCTCCTGTAAACACATGTTCCCAGTGTGTGCTTTCTCCTCTCTCGGGGCAGCTCTCTACCTAACTCAGAAGTAATGAGTCTTAGGTTCCACCTAAATTGGTATGACCTCAGCAGATTGATTACATCTGGTTGCCTTGTGGACAGTTGATTACACCCGATTAGATTACAATCAATAGTATCGGGGTTACAATTCGAACACATTTTTGGAGACAAAAATCCAATCCATAATAGGTATCACTGCTAATAGACAGTACTAGAAAAAAAGTAGCAAAACCAAAAAAGCAGTAGAGGTTCCCAGACTTGGGTTTAGAATGCTTCCATAACTATGAAGGTCCATTGCCACACAGTCAATGCTGACTCACAGGGACCCTATGGAACCCCACAGAGTTTCCAGAGCTGAAGCCTGCCCAGACATAGACTGCCACATCTTTCTCCCAAGGAGCAACTGGTGGGTTCGAACAGCCAGCCTTTCCATTAGCAGCTATACACATCACCACAGCACCACCAGCGCTCCACTACAATTCTCTTAGGAAAATAAGACCTAGTTCAAATGCTACCTTTTCCCTAAAGATTTTTCTGACCTCTATTATCCCCAGATTGTATTTGTTCTCTTCCTTCTTCAAACAGCCATATCTCTTTTCTTGCATTTCTCCTCGGGGACTTCCCTGCTGTATGTGAGAGCCAGTTCTGTTCCGGTTACTCTCCTGTTTACCTCCACCGTGTGCCCAGTCACAAGCAGACATTCCTTAAGATCGGAGGCCATACTTTAGTGATGCATGGCTCTCTAGCACCAGACAAGTGCTTATTCGTCAGCAGGTACTCAGTAGAATGTGATGATTTTTTTATCTGTCTCTACTAAAAGAACCATTTGCGTGCAAACCCAGACAACTTACCCAGAGTCTGTCACCTGTCTCACCGCACAGCATTTGAAACTCATATTTTCCAGGGGCCGTTCTCTCGTGTCTCAATTCCTCACCTCACTAAAAGGAAGGAAGATTAAGAAGTGAAATTTTCTAGTTGATTTTTATTATTATTATTTTATTGTTTACTTCAATTTCCTCATGATTACCTGATGGGGCTTACCACTTCCTACATGTATGTATTTACCCATGCAAGTCACTAACTTCCACACTCAAATGTGAGTGATTAGCAAATAACTACATAATGCAATCCGTCTTGCTTTGCGCAAGCCATTGCTGCTTCTCAGAGAGCTGCAAACCACACTATTGCTTCCTCTCTGTAATGAGAGTACAGCATTTGTCACCAGCCACATCAGGGACACCGCCGGGAAAGGTCTGTTCTGGCCCAAATGGCACACGTCTCCTATGTGGCGGCTTTCTTTCTATCTCTGAGTAAGTTTCTTAAATCTGCATGCTTCTTTTGTCCCGGGAGCAAATGAATCCGTGGGAGCCTGTGGGGTGACGGGCAGGAGCAGCTATGCCCATATCACTGGTGTGGGCAGTAATGTCTAACGTATGGACCGCGGTGCTTGGCTTACCTAGACATCCTTGAGTCTCCGAGAGGTGCACTGCTTGCTTGACACCTCATGCACCTGAGCTTTGTACATCTGTCTGTGTTGCCTGGCCCTGCCTTTACCTCATCTTCCTGAACTGACCAACCCTCACAGAGAGAGTGAGCGACTTCGCTATCCCTTGACTGAGCGGTTTGCCTGTTGCTAGGACTTGACTTGATATGTATGTCTTGGAGCATCACTGGGGAGACAGGAACAATCGTCTTCAGTTCAATTAAAAAGAGCAGGTTGTGGGCTTGGTCTGTGACTGTGAGCTGACTTTTAAGAGACCGAGAAGAGGTCAGTCTTGGCTACAGACAGGCATGTATTGGGACTGATCAATGTCTCAGTGGCTAACCAGAGCTGGGAAGAAAGGCCTAGAGTCCGACATCTGAAAACCAGCCCCCCAGAGCCCTCTGGAACTCCATTCTCCATCACACCACGATCCATAGCCACTGAGCAGATTCCCGATCATAGCGACCCTAGAGAGCAGGGTAAGCTGCCCCTTTGGGAGTCCAAGGGTAGACTTCTTCAGGCAGCAGACTGGCGGCTTCAAGCTGCTGAACTTGCAGTAGCAGCTCAATGTGTAACTCGCGAGGCTAACCAGGGACATACTGGGTTCCCATAAGTTAGATTTGACTTGATACCAGCTGGATTGGGTTTTAGCTGGCCAGGGATATTTACATGTGTCAGTCTAAGGCAGAAGAAGTACACATTTGGAAGTGGGAGGGAGAATCAGATGAACTGGACAGGAAGTGAAATATAAAGAGGCTTTTAAAAATTCTTGGAAAAATAGAATGAAAAGATAATGGGATTTTTCCATGAACTTTTTGAAGTCCCAGGGATAAAGACAAGGATCTCTACTCCTGTGAAGAGTTACAGTCTCAGCAGTACACAGGGGCCGTTCTGCCCTGACCGACCTGGTCGCTCTGAGCTGGAATGACTCGGTGGTGGTAAGTTTCGTTGTTTGTTTGTAGTTTCAGAGCAAGTCACAGATACTTTTTTGTTGTCATTGATTCCCTTAACATCTGGCGAAGGCTGTCAATACTCTCAGAATAATGCTTTAAATATATGAAGTAAACTTACGTCATAGGATTGCAGAGAAAATCAATCCTATCAAAATTCAGCTACCAACCATGTTGAACGCATTGTGATGCAGTCATTTATGGCCCTTGCGCATTAGATGAAATGATTGAAATTCATCACCAAACTTCAAAGAAGTGATGCGTGTGAATCGCATTTGAAGAGATTGGGAACACCTAAAATATGATACGAAGTATCTGTGATTTTTACTGGTGACAAAGTCACAGGTCTTAATAATACTGCGGTTTTCTCTCTACGTTCATAGCTGAAGGAAACACTAAATTTGCCTTGGGTGTCAGAGGTGTCAGTGAAAGTAAAATCCCTCTTTGTGGACACATGCTGATGGACTCCTGAATGCTGTGTGTGGAGCCCAGCGAAGAGCCTCTGCTTCAGGGAGACTGGTCCCGAGTGCAACCCAGCTGCCAGCAGGGCCACCAGGTCTGCGGCTAGAGCACAAAAGGGGCCCAAAAAGCATCATTACAGAGGGCTTGCTTAGAAACCACTGGTTGAGTTGAACTGGGCTCAGGTCTGGGGGGACTTTGGACACTTTGAGTTAAGGACAAGATGCGGAAAGGGTCCAGGAGGAAAGAGTGGCCAGGGGGTTAGAGGGGGGTGGGGTGGGGCTGTTACCAGGAGGACCGTTGCTGGGTGATCAATGCCTGTCAGACTGCCTTGGCAAGATTGATGGATAGGTAGACTGGTAAAAATCCTTGGAGGCCTGGTGTGTTTCTATTTTTCCTGTCCAGTTGTCTGAGTGAAATTCTCAAGTGTATGTGCTTTCTGTGTTTAGACTGTCGATAGAAGCAAACTGGACTAACATTAGGCAATAAATCCGGGAATTACAAATTCTCTCTCTGTCTTTGTCTCACGGTCTCTCTTTAGGAAGGCATGTTAATAACCAAGGCGCAAAAAGGGGAGGCTGGAAGCTTTCCCTAAGCCCATTGGAACTATTACATAGTTATATAATAACTGGGTTATACGCTTATTTCTTCTAAAGTCTGACTCACTTGCAATCATTCTGCACAGAACCACAGTTGTCATGTGGGGCATACCTAAAGCAGGAAGTAACTCAGAAAAGCTCTGGGAGGCAACCGTGGGTCTTTCCACATACAGAGGGGAAATGAACTGGAGTAATTAATGATGAATTGATCAATTACTGCATTTAGTAGGTGTCTGCTATGTCTGACTGTAGTTTTATTTGTTCGTTTGAAAAATGTAAGACTGATTAATCTTGTTAGAATATAGTGCTAATGAGGGAGTACGCTGTTGTCGGATTAATGAGCTGTTGGAGTTAGCAGTTAGCCCATCCTGTTTGATATGCTACCTCTCACCCTGACTAGCTGCCCTACAAAGCAAGACCATTAACAGAGGGGGATCTTGGGAAGGAGCACCAGTAGCTCCTTAGAGCTTCATAGTGGTTATGTGTCGAAACTACCAGCCACTCTGTGGGAGAAAGACAAGGCTCTCTATTCTATAAAGAGTTATGGTCTCAGAAACTCAGAGGGGCAGTTCTATCACGTCCTATAGAATTGCTGGGAGTCAAAATTGAGTTGGTGGCAGTGAGTGAGTGAGTGAGTGAGTGAGTGAGTGAGTGAGTGAGTAGTGAGTGAGTGAGTGAGTGAGTAGTGAGTGAGTTAGTTGAGTTGGGTTGAGTTGAGGTGAGGTGAGGTGAGTGAGTGAGTGAGTTGAGTGAGTGAGTGAGTTTAGTGAGGAGTGAGTGAGTGAGTGAGTGAGTGAGTGAGTTGAGTGAGTGAATAGTGAGTGAGTTGAGTGAGGAGTGAGTGAATGAGAAGTGAGTGAGTAAATGAGTAGTGAGTGAGTAGTGAGTGAGTGAGGAGTGAGTGAGTTGAGTGAGTGAATAGTGTGTGAGTGAGTAGTGAGTGAATAATGAGTGAG